TCCTGATCTCCGTAGCGGTAAAAGGTCTGGGCCAACTCTGAACTACCTCAATCTTCTTCGATCCACCTTGATCCCATCACCGGACACCACGTGGCCCAAGAATGCCACTAAATCCAACCAAAACCCATACTTTGAGAACTTAGCATACAACTCCTCCCTTAAAATCTAAAGCACAATCCTCAAATGTTGCTCGTGCTCCTCCTGACTATGGGAATATACCAAGAATCATCATTGAACACAATAACAAAGGTATCCAAATAAGGCTAGAACACATTGTTCATCAAATGCATGAAAGCCACTAGGGCATTAGTCAAACCAAAAGATATCACCAAGAACTCATAATGCCTATAATGGGTCCTGAAATTGTCTTAGGAATGTCCGAAGCCCTGATCTTTAACTCATGATAACCAGATTTGAAGTCAATCTTTGAAAATACCATAGCACCCTGAAGCTGTCAAACAAATCATCAATGTGAGGCAGTTGATACTTGTTCTTGATGGTAACCTTGTTCAATTACCTGTAGCCAATACACATTCTCATAGAACTATCTTTCTTCTTTAAAAATAATATCGGAGTACCCCAAGGTGAAAAACTCAGCTTGATGAAACCCTTGTCCAAAAGCTGCTACAACTATTCCTTCAATTCCTTCAACTCCGATGGTGCCATGTGATACAGTGGAATAGACATGGCTGAGTGACCGACACCAAATAAATACCAAAGTCAATATCCCTATCGGGCGGCATTCCCTGTAGGTCAGCAGGAAACACATCTAGAAACTCTCTAACTGCTGGAACTAACTCAACAGTAGAAGTATCAATACTAACATCTCTCACAAAGGCTATATACGCCAACATCCCTTCTCAACGATCCATTGAGCCTTTAGAAAAGAAATCACTCTACTAAGAATGACCAACAGAACCTCCATTCCAACCTTGGAAACACCGGCATCGCCAAAGTTAGGTCTTAGCGTGACAATCAAAAATAACATATGGAGATAGTCAATCCATACCCAAAATTACCTCAAAGTCAATCATATTGAGTAATAAAAGATAAAACCTCGTTTCATAACCCCCAACGGTAACCACACAAGACCGATACACCATGATCTACCACAATAAAATCACCAACAAGTATAGATACATGAACATGAATATCAAGGGAACCAAGAGGCATATACAAATAAGGAGCAAAATGGACACATAAGAATAAATGGAACCAGGGTAAAATAATACTGAAGCATCCATGTGGCACACTGGAACAATACTTGTGATCACGATATCTGAATTAACTGCCTCTAGGATGACCTCAAACATACTGTGCGAGTGGTGTAGCTACTAGTATTGAAACCATGGACTGAGTGTTGTAAAGCGGTACATAACTCAGAACCCGGGGAAATCCCTCTTGAGATGACTCTAGTCCCCACACTCAAAACAACCCATCCTTTGGCGAAACTGCTGACTCTATGACTACCCTGAGAACCTGAATATCCGCTCGTAGAACCTTGAGCAGATGGGGACACTGTATGAATTTTGTGCTGGTAGTGCACTGATAAGGACTGGCCTAGGTGAGCACCGTATGAACCGTGGCTAACTAACAAACCACGAGAAACCTAACGAGCTACTTGAGTGGGCTGAAAGGATGGACTCTACTATGATGTGCATGTACTCTAGATGAGGAACCACCAAAACCTCTTAAATCACGAGGCCTCTTGGCCTCCCACTCCTTTGGCTCCTACCTGCGAACACGCTCTAAGCGCCAAGCAATTCCAACTGCCTGGTGAAATTTTGTATCCATCTCGGCCTCTCGGGCCATACCATATCGTATACCATAGTTGGGGCCCTCAATGAACCTTTAGAATCTCTCTCCCTCTCAGTAGGGACCAAAAAACACTGCATGATGAGCTAACTCTGTGAACCTCATCTCGTACTAGATCACAGTCAATCCCTCCTAGCATAGATGCTCAAACTCACTGAAATTCATCTATGCGAGTTTGTGGTATGAACTTCTCCAAGAAGAGAAGTGATTAGTGAGATCAAGTAAGTGGTGTTGCACTAGCTGGCCTACTCAACTCATAAGTCTGCAACCACCTATATGCTGGACCTGACAACTGGAAGGTAGTAAAGTCAACCTCATTTGAGTCCACCAGACCCAAAGTGCACATAATCCGATGACACTGATCAAGAAAACCCTATGCATCCTCAGTAGTCTCACCACTGAAATGAGGAGGATGAAGCCTCTAAAACCTCTCTAGCATCTTCTGCTCTTCAGCAATCAAAGATGGTCTAATCTCGGGTTGAACCGCAATGATTGGCTGCACAGGCTGGACCCTCAGTGCTTGATAACCATGAGCCAGCTACTCTGGTGTATGTGCGGCAAGAGTCTAGGCTTATCCTCCAACATGTGAGGTAGTTGGAGCAACATGGGTCATACCCGCCTGAGCCAAACTTATATACACACTCAAAATTTAAGCCAAAGTCTCCTGAATTCCAGGTGCAGCAATAGGTCCCTCCGGAGCCTGAGCTGGTCCTACCAGCTCAACATAATTAGGAATATGCTCCTCAACTAGAGCTACTGGTGGCTCCACAGTTTCTACCCTAGCATGGACTCTAACCGCGACGAATAATCCACCTCTGCCTCTGCCTCGATATCAGCCTCTAGCGGCCCTAGCTTGGGGTACTAGTGCTTATCCAATTGTACTAGAAGAACGTGTCCTCACTACCGGTGAGAGAATAGATGAGCAAAGATTCAAACTTAGGGATAAACAAATTCACACGATAGACAATGAAAGAAGAGAAATTTTCCTAATGGCCCTGTAGCCTCTGAAAATAAGTACAGACATCTCTGTACTGATCCGCAAAACTTTACTAGACTTGCTCATGACTCGTGAGACCTATGTAACCTACTTCTCTGATACCAACTTGTCATGACCCAAATCTACCACCGATCGTGATGGCACTTAATCTCACTTTCTAGGCAAGCCAATCATAAATAATAACAAAATATAATAACAAATTACAGAATAAACAAGTCTGAAAGATAAATAACCTTAGATAATATCAAATCATTACACAACTCCTTAGAACTGATAACAACGAGTCAAAAGCTCTACAGTACGAATACAAGTCTAAAATACAGAAATATTATCTGAAACAACAACAACAACATCAAATAAAACACAGGAAGAGATGCTAGGGACTGCAATCAGGAAGCAACTCTACTTCGGTCTCCACATCACAACAAACAACTCAGCTCACGAAGCTCGACTGGGTCCAACTCATGAATCTGCACAATTTAGTGTAGAGTATAGTATAAGTTACCGACCTTATGTACTCAGTAAGTATCATGAAAAACCTCGGCGAGGTAGTAATGGATAGAATTACCAATGATACTCACTTAACAACCTGTTCAGTTCATAAATATGCAAGTATGCTGCAATGGTACGAAAACTAAGCAGGAAGTACATGTACCAAATTAGTGCACATAGACAAGATGTGTGCAAGTCTTGTAATAGTTTAACAACTCAGCATATAGAGAAGATATACATCTATCACCAATGAATCATCAACATTTGCATATACATAATATATGCATGGATAATCAAGTTAATGTGCATAGGATAACATATAGAGAAGATATGTATCGTACCTTCATCCTTCAGTCAAAGAAGCATATAGAGGAGATATGCATAAAGAGGCATGTATACATTCCAAAACTATCATATAGAGAAGATATATGATAAAATCATATATACACCCAAGGAGTTTGTATATAGGGAAGATACGCAAAAAACCAAACACTAATAAGTTTTCCTCATACAGTGTTTACATCATCAAGAGAGAAATATGAGAGGACGACCCTAGGGGATGGATCCTTATCCATATGCTGCATGGACAACTCACATGCCAAAATATAACAACTGCACGGACTACTCACGTGCTATCAGGACTCAACCTGTTTAGACCACTCACGTGCTGCCAATCCAGCCCATATCACATAGAAAGCATATACAAGAACACATGTATACAAACAATGGATAGAAAATCACATACTCATGGACTGATAAAAAGTGGCATGCTAAGGTGTATTCATGAGCGAAGTATGCTACCACAACTCAGATTAGGCGGATATGCCACAAAATAGTAAATATCATATTTGAACAGGAAATTAACTAACATATGATCTCTAGCATGATTTAAAAAGTTCACAAAGGGGTACAAACATATGAAACGTGATTGCAAGAAGCATAGTATCTAATACAAGTCATAACACAACCTAAGGACTACCCCGAACATGGATAAAACCTGATGTACGCACACATGCTCATCCCCGGCATGTGCATCACCATCGGCACGTAGCCATCATCAACAATTCAAGCAAATAGTCACTCAAACCAAGGCTAGGAAAGATATTTACCTCAAACAAGCAAAATCAATACCCTAAAAATACCTTCCGTCGCAAATCGGCATTCGAACGGTTCGAATCTAGCCAAAAATAACTCAATAATGTCAAATTATGCTATAAGAATCAATTCCAAACAACAAATATTCAATATTTATTCAATTCTCAAAAGTCAACCCCCGCCCACATGGTCACAACTCGAGTCAAGATGTCTATATCGACTACCTATAACTCCACGAGTTCAAATATGTACTTAGATTCCAAAATCAAGTCCAAATCATAGCTCAAAACCCTAATTTACACTCTCCAAAATTATAGTTAAAAAACCTAAATTTACCTTAAATTTCTATAATATATATGTAGTAATCCATAGGGAAAAATATCTACCATAAAAATTAAGTGGGAATTACTTACCCTCAAAGGTATGGTGAAAATCCCTCCAAAAATCGCCTCTAGCCGAGCTCCAAAATTCCAAATAATGAAAACTGAGCTAACATTTCGAAATAATAAGATCGTCAGTAGTTCCGCTTTCTGCGAAGAAAATCAACACTTTTGTGCACTCTCTTATGCGAATTAACTCGCATCTGCGAGATCTCCTCTACTCAGCCATCCCCGTACTTGCGACCACTCAACCGCTTTTGCGGCACTGCATGTGCGCATGCACGTCCGATTCTGTGCTTTGGCTTCTGCGTATGGACCCTCGTAAGAACGAAGTCCCAGCTCCAACTGCCCTTCGCATTTGCACCCCCCTCATCCGCAGGTGCGACGTTGCACATGCGTACCAAACCTCGCAGGTACGACACACCAGTGCCAGAACTTCCACTCAACTCCAAAATGGTCTGAAACCTATTTGAAACATATCCGAGCCCCTCGGCACCCCATCCAACCATACCAACAAGTCCATAAGCACTACTCGGACCTATCCAAAGTCTCCAAACATATACGATAATATCACATCAGGGAATCGAAGATCGAAACACAAGTTGAACTTCTCTTAAGTTCAAGAACTTCTGGACTTCAAACCAAGCATCTAATTCAAGCCTAACCAATTGAGATTATTTTCAAACTTTGCACCCAAGTTCCAAATGACAAAATGAACATATTCTAAGTCCTAGAACAACAATCTGAATCTGATATCATCAAAGTTAAATCCTCAAAGTTAACTTCCGGTCAAACTTATGAATTTTTCAAACCTTTAAATGACCAACTTTCGACAAATAAAGCCAAAATATCCTAGGAACCTCCAAATTCGTACATACTCCTAAGTCCAAAATTAACATACGAACCTATTGGAACCATTAAATTTCCAATCCGAGATCGTCTACTCAAAAGTCAAACCTTGGTAAACTCTTACAACTTAAGCTTCCAAAAGTGAAACTAAGTGTTCCAATCATTCTCAAAACTTCGTGAAATCAACCCAAACATTCCTGCAAGTCATCAAACAACAAACACACATATGGGAAGAATCAAATAGGAGAAACATGGCTCAAATAAATAAAACGACTGGTCGGGTCATTATAATTATTCACTTAATGGTTTAATAAATATTTCAATCATTAGGTACACAATACGATGCTAAATTTTCCTTTCATTGGAAACATCATTCGTTGTTATTGATAAGTAAACTATTATGAGTCATCATAGTCGTATATCTGCTTACTCGACATAATCTCTTCCATGTACTACAATATCAGTCTATTACCCAGCAGTTAATGTATCACGAACGTGTGGGTGTAGTCGCGTTCGCGAAGAGGAAATGGGGAGACTGGGTTCATGCATGGTTGTTATTCGCGATCGCAAAGCAGTGTCTACGATCGCGTACATCAGTGGTGGATAGTCATCGCTTTCCCGAGGGGATTTTCGCTATCACGTAGTGTTAATTTTTGGGCGCTTAGTTTTGTGCTTCGCGATTGAGGACTTCTGGGCAGAATTTAAAGTCTTAAAAATGAGGGTTTGAGTTTATTTCACAATTTGATTTTGGGAGCTCGGATTATGGCGATTCGTGGAGAGAATTTCAAGGGAGTGATTGGGGTAAGTGATTCTAACTCGATTTTTCTTAAATTACGTGAATATATCATTATTTTTATCATTTAATTAGTATTTCGGGATAAAACTTTGGGGGAAATGGAGAAAACCTCTTAGGCCGAATTTTGGGGATTTGAGCGGCATTTTGGTGTCGGATTTGAGTAATTTTGGTATGGTTGGACTCGTGGTTGAATGAGTGTTCGGATTTTGTAACTTTTATTAGATTCCGAGACGTGGGCCCAGGGGTTAACTTTTGTGTTGGCTTTTTGACTTTTTATTAAGAACTTAGCATTTTCTTAGGGAATTGATTCTTATAGCTTGAGTTGACTGTATCGAATTGTTTGTGGCTAGATTCGAGGCATTCGGAGGCCAATTTGTGAGGTAGGGGCTTGTTAGCGGAGTGATTCGATTTGCTTGAGGTAAGTATGGTATTTAAACTTGGTTGAGACACCAGTTGCCTGAATTGTTGTGATAGCCACGTGCTTTTGGGTGCGCACATGCATGGGGATGAGCCCATGTGCGGGCACCGGGGGTTATATATTCATGTTTGGGTTGTGCTCGGACTCTTATAACCTAGAACTGATTATTAAGCTTTAATCTATGATATCTCACATGTTGTAACAGTTTATGTGATCTATTTGAGCCATATTGAGGCTACTTAAAGGTTTAACCCCTGGATGAACTTGTTAAATGCTCTTCAGTGATGAAATTGCCGAATTGAGCTACGATAGCACACTTTCCACATGCCTACACTTTAGCATGTCATTTATACCAGTCCAAGGATATGGGAATCCTATTTCATTCATCATATACATGTAAACTTGTTTTATTGCTTATGTATGATATGTTTGGACTAGAGGCATGTGACTATGCCGAGGGATTATGTTATTGGCACGTGAGTTATCCGTGCATCACATCGTGTGGATCCATATATTGATATTATTGGTACGTGAGTTGTCTGTGCAGCATGTGAGTTAACCGTGCGGATCCATATATTGATAATATTGACACGTGAATTGTCCGTGTCGCACGTGAATTGTCCATGCAAGTTCTATTGTTAGCACATGAGTTGTCCGTGCAGTGTGTGAAACTTCTATTTTCTTGATCATTTATCTTATTTACTTATTTTCTTCCTCTACATTCCATAATACTGTCTGAGCAGGGTATTTGAGAAACTGTGCACATGCACACACGGATATTCTTCTCACAAAGCTTGATGAGTTAGTTCTAAATATTGTTATGTGTTGGTTTAAAAAGGCAGAATTACACCGGAATAACCAGTATCCTCAATAATTTAAGCTTCTCTTACCTTGACTTGTTTATTTACGATACTTATTGATTTGGTTGTACTCATACTATACCTTGCACCTCATATGCAGATCCAGGTATTTTAGGGCGCGGTGGTTGCTGATCGTGGAGTTTTACCTGTTCGGAGATTATCGAGGTAGTTGCTTTGGCATTTGCAGACCTTGACTCTCCTCCCCTATATCTCAATTTTACTTATTATGTTCTACCTTTTTAGATAGTGTACCAGACTATGTTATTGTATATATGCTCATGTACTCAGTGACACCCGAGTTTTGGGAAATCCTGTATTGAGTTGTGGCATTTTCATCTAGTTTTTATGAGATTCTTACTTACTTATACCTATTTCGGTATATTTTGAATTTAAGATGTTTGTATATGTGAGTTGTCGTCTTGCCTAGTATCATGATAGGCTCCATCACGGTACTTGTGATCTGGAGTCGTGACAAGTTGATATCAGAGCCTAGGTTACATAGGTCTCACGAGTCATGAGTAGGTTTAGTAGAGTCTTGCGGATCGGCACAGAGATGTTTTTACTTATCTTCGAGAGGTTGTCGAACCCTTAGTAAAACTTCACATTCTTGTTGTGCGAATTTGTTAATTCTGGGAACTAAACTTCTATTATTCTATTCTCTCACAGATGGTGAGGACACGTGCTACTGGATCAGGCGGACGGCCACTGGTACCACCAGCGAGCAGCACCTGTAGACCCACCAATTGCACCAGATCAGGAGCAGATTCCAGATGTGGTTGAGCCGGTGGGACCATCTCAGGCACCAGCTGTGCCCATTATGATTCCAGGCCTTTGGGAGGCTCCTGCCCAGATATTGACTATTTGCACTAGCCTTGCTCAGGTGGTTTTAGTTCAGGCCGGGGGAGGTGCTCAAACTCCCGACGTCATTACTCCAGAGCAGGTGGTGTAGGGACTCCAGACACCAGGGGTATTACCATCCCAGCCGGTTGCAGTTGCTCAGGCCCAGGTGGGTCCCTTTATGAGTAATGAGTAGCACAAGAGGCTAGAGAGATTTGGGAGGCTCATGCCTCCAACATTCAGTGGGGTTGAGTCAGAGGATGTTTAGGACTTCTTGGATAAGTGTCAGGGGATTCTTTGCACAGCGGGTATTCTGGAGACTAGTGGAGTTTCCTTTACTACTTTTCAGTTATCGGGGGCTGCCTTCAGATGATGGGAGGCCTATGAGAGGAGCAGGCCAGTCGGTGCAGCACCACTTTAATGGCATAAGTTCTCCGTTCTCTTCTTGGAGAAGTTTATGCTATAGACCCGCAAGGAGGAGCTGCGCAGGCAGTTCAAGCAGCTATGCCAGGAGGGCATGTTTGTGACCCAGTATGAGATCAGATTTTCAGAGTTGGCTCATCACACGATCTATTTGGTTCCCACGGAGAGAGAGAGAGAGAGAGAGAGAGAGAGAGAGAGAGAGAGAGAGAGAGAGGGGATTACGAGGTTCATTGATGGCCTCAGCTATCAGTCATCATTCAGTGCATTACCAGCGCAGAGTTCTCACCATGCCTCATTTGCTCAGGCTTCTACAGGCAATTCCCCGAGTTATCAGGAGCAGCAGCTCTGTCAGAGGAGGGGTTGTTTCGAGTGCAGGGACTTGAGTCATCTCAAGAAGGATTTCCCTAGATTGTTGAATGGGATTCCACAGTAGAGTTCTCGGCTGATGATACCAGCACCAGCAGTTACACCACCCGTGTAGCCATCTCGGGGTAGGGCCAAGGCAGCTGGAGAGAAGTGCAGTGAGAGTTAGGCACACAGGTTGAGTTGAGTACAGCATTCCACCCTTAGACGGACGGACATTCCGAGCGTACTATTCAGATATTGGAGGATATGCTATGCCTTTGTGTCATAGATTTCGGGGGTTCTTGGGATCGGTTTCTGTGGATTACAGAGTTTGCCTACAACAACAGCTACCAATCGAGCATTCAGATGGCTCCGTATGAGGTTTTGTATGGGAGACGGTGTCGGTCTCCGGTGGGATAGTTTGAGCCGGGTAAGGCTAGGCTATTGGGTGCTGACTTGGTTCAAGATGCTTTGGACAAGGTTAAGTTAATTCAGGATCGGCTTTGCACGGCGTAGTCTATACATAAGAGCTATGTCGATCGGAAGATTCATGATGTTGCTTACATGGTAGGGGAGAAGGTACTACTTAGAGTTTCGCCCATGAAGGGTGTTATGAGGTTCGGGAAGAAGGGCAAGTTGATCCCTTGGTATTTTCGGCCTTTTGAGGTGCATGAGAGGATTGGAGAAGTGGCTTACAAGCTTGCATTGCTGCCTAGTCTATCGAGTGTTCATCCAGTGTTTCATGTTTCTATACTCCGGAAGTATGTCGTAGATCCGTCTCATATTTTAGATTTCAGCACGGTTCAATTGGATGGTGATTATAATTATGATGTGGAGTCAGTGGTCATTTTGGACCAGTAGGTTCTAAAGTTGAGGTCAAAGAATATAGCTTCAGTGAAGGTGTAGTGGAGAGGTCAGCCAGTCAAGGAGGCTACTTAGGAGATCGATGGGGAGATGCGGAGCAGATATTCACCCCTATTTAAGACTCCGGGTATGTTTCTAAACCCGTT